AGATATATTTGTATTGCTTTTGTTTTAATTATATCAACCCAAACAAAGCAATAAAAGCCACTAAGATGCAATTGGTAACTAAGTGTGGGAGAAACAGTGATAATAGTGAAAGATCAGGATTTAAGGTAACAGATTATGACGATTGACGTTGCATTTACATTTTTTTGACAGGAAAACAGAGAGTCGGAAAATAGTCCCACAAGCAAGAAGTGCAGGAGTAGAAACTATTAGCATAGCACTTACGGTTGCAACTAGTAATTTCAGCAGCTGCCAATCTAATACTGCTTTAAATTTATGAAGTCGAGATACCAAAGAGGAAAGCTCATAAGAACAATTAACGTGACAATATTTATCGAAAAAGAAAACTAATTTACGGTGGTTGGAAAGTGACTGAAGCTGAGATATCAGGTTCGAATTCTGTCAAGAGTCTTTAGATATATATATCAGAAGCACTAGTCTAGATAAGGCAGCAAAAACGAATGGCAGACTGATAAACGTGCAAGACTGATTCTGGCGAGAAAAAATTGTTTAACACGACACAGTGAACTGACTTTCCTAGTAGCAGACTTAACAATTGATTCAATGCAATCGTTCTACTTCAGTGGAAAACGCGAGAGCAAGAAGGTGTAGTGAATTGTTCTCCTGGAGGTTATCGTCTGCCATATAGATGGAAGGCAAAAAAAAAAGGTTCTTTAAGATGATCAGTTTCGTTTTAGAGGTGTTCAAATTGACAAGTCACAGTTCGCCTCAGTTAAAAGCAGTGCTACTGAAACCTAATTGCACATTTCCGTCAAACATTAAATAGGTTCCTGAAGAGATGTATGAGCGTTAACATTTTTAGCAAAGAATATTAAGATTCTCAAAAATATAGCAATATTAACGTATAAATGATTTTGCTATGACAAATTTTGACCGCCTTACGCTCAGGTTGTTGCGATAACTGTAAACTAAATTCGAAATATTCTCCTTTCATCAGCCGTATTTTGGACTGCTATGACATTTTTGTAAGAATGGAAGGTGCAGAGTAGGGGGTACTCACATGCCACAGGCAAAACAAAAATGACTAAAATGTAGGAAGAAGCAGGGAATGACACGTGGCTTTAATCAATAGCAGCCAGTGAGAGAAACAGAAGCTCCCTTGTTTGAAGTGGGTGATATTCAAGTAGTGAGTTAAAAAAATTGAATCAATTCGAGCGTAAAGGCCACAGTCGACTGCAAAACAAATGGAGAGTCCGTCGAAACTTCATAGTATGTGCGGCAGAAGACAGTTGACAGTTGAATTTACGTGTGAGGAATGAAGACCAATCACTCTGAAATGTGGAGAAGTTCTGTTAAACAAAAGTGGAACCATATCTGCATGAGATTGTAGCCGAATATCGGAGGGATTTGAAGAAAAGAAATAAAGAAAAAATCTCGTCTTTTACATCTAGTGCCATTTGTTAATTTCTACATTATAGAATAAAGATATTGGTTTCTCGTTTCTCCTGGACTCTAATAACCAGTCAGTTTTAGTTGCTGACACGTATATTTTTCTCCTGTAAGCGACACATTTGTTTTACATGTTTTTCTCTGTTTCTTGTTGGGTTACCTCCTCTTATTTTTCGAAGCCGCTATTAGGGGATGATTTCCGGACTATAAATAATCGGCAATATTTTTCTCGTTCTCTTCTCACCTTATCCGCTTATTCGTCAACATGTAACCTCTCGCAGAGAACGCGTTCTCTTTGGGAACGCATTAACAATAGACACACACACGTACATACGCACATTCACTCACTACACATACTTTGGACCATTAGGTTTTCACATTCATTTGACACACATCCTTATCCTTGTCACTTGTAAACCTTTGTTGTTAATACATTATCATTTGTTTGTACGCATATATTGGTTCCTGTCATTTCTTTTCAATTCTTTACGTGGACTCACATCCCGAGTCTGCCATGTTTGTTCTGGACATTTCATGAGACACACGTGTTTATCTCTCAACGCATACACCAGCCCGCTACATTCTCATTAAAAGTAGTAGGCCTCTGCCATTGCTATTTTAACGGTACTTGTATTCTTCTTGCCTATTTAAATTTTCTTGTTCCATTACCCGTCTACTTAAGTCGAAAGAAAATATATGCCGCTGTTGTTGGGTTTGTCGGCCGTGGCGTGTAATTAGGAGTGCGAACGAAGTGCAAAAGTATCAAAAATGTGCTATAAGCGTGACAGGCTGCTTCTAACTACGTAGCGTGTATTTTGGGGTTTAGCGAAGAACATGGTGGAGTAACACAGAACTGAATAAGAGATACGCGAAAATATAGTTGTAGGAACTTTTAAAATTCTGCCGGAAAGGAAACTACTTCTGGACATGAATATTTTTTAGAGTCACTATTTCTGTTGAACAATAAACAGTTACTGCAAGTCTCTTCGATTTGTTTCTCTGACATGTTACCTGCAGATCAGTTTTTTGTTACTTATTTGCGCCAACTCTATCGTCTTTCACGTTGCAGACTCTTTTTCTCAGCAGCTTTGGGTTTTTGCGTTTGTGGTTGCAGATCACTTAACCAACACTTGCGTGTCTCAGTACTTCTAGTTGCAGTTAATTTCTCCTAGTAATTCTTTATCAAATAGTTCCCGGTTCACGCCCGCGCCAACATCTAAATCGTGTCTTACTTCCGGTAAAAATCGCTTTTCCTCTTCGTCTTTCTTTTCTCATTCATGTACGTGCTATTTCCGACGCCAGAAAGAATTTTACGAATATAGATCCTGTGTTTTTTCATTACATGTACATAAAATACAATAAAAAGAATTATGATTTTGGAAAGTTGAGTTTATTCCTCAAATTAATAGCATTTCTTGAAAATACTTTAATTTTATGCCATTCCCAACCTGTGATTTATTCTTTTTCAAGAATGTAATTCCTTTGTTTTGTATATCATAACGATAATGAATAAAAAATAAGGTCAATACTGACACAATAAAAAATAATTCTCTGATAATCAAAGAGTTGCGATAAACTGTTTTGTGATTTTATTAGGGTTGCAGCTATTACTATCCACTCAAGAGAAGAAATATTGTAGCGGACCCCTCGAGCGCCCCCGTATCGCAAAAGGGTGATGAGGTCACGAGAGGCCCGCTAGCATTTTCAAAGACGTTAAATCTGACAAGGTGAAACAACATAGACGACAGAACGAGGATATATAGGATATAAGCTAATTTATTCTAGAAAAGTAATAAAGAAATAAAGGTGCTCGGAACGGTAGAGATGCAGATGTTCCGGTGCAGGTATTGATGGTCGAGGTTGGTTGTTACAGGTGTCGTTACAGGTGATCGCTGCTGGTCATGCAGTTGGTCGCTGCTGGTCGTTGCCGGGATGATCGCTGTAGTTGAAGTTGATGTCGGTTGTTGCAGATGATCACTGCTGGTCATTGTAGTTTGAGGTTGATGTTGGTCGTTGCCGGGATGATCACTGCTGGTCATTGTAGTTTGAGGTTGATGTTGGTCGTTGCCGGGATGATCACTGCTGGTCATTGTAGTTTGAGGTTGATGTTGGTCGTTGCCGGGATGATCACTGCTGGTCATTGTAGTTTGGGGTTGATGTTGGTCGTTGCTGGGATGCCAACTTGACATGTTGGGAAGGAAACGGGAACTGGTGTTGCGATGATGTTCGGGCATGTCAATGGTCCAGTGCAGGCGTTGCGTGTTTTCCGGTCGAGTCCGATATTAGTAACCTCCCGTAATAATTACTAACATAGTGTACGGGAAAGGTTATGGACGACGTGCTGGCAGCCAGTAGGGACAGAATGCCGAGCGTCGAAGAGGGCGAAGGCGCCAGGAGTAGTAGGCGAAGGAGAGAGAGAGAAAGGAAAGTTTCCAACTATCGTCAAGTTGGCAGACAAAAAAAAAAAAAATGGGAGCGTAACTTAATACGCAGGGGCCAGGGGCCTGCGTATCCGACCGTTTCAGTCGCCGACCCTAAATTTAGTGAGAAGTCACTGCCTTGTGGTAAGGGAGACTAGCAAGAGAATTGGGGAGTTAATACAGGAAAGTCTCTATAAAAAAATAAGTCGAGGTTAGCTAAAGGGAACTATGGTCTAAAATGTCTAGAAGTATATTACAACTAGGTTTGTAATATAAGTAAACTGAAGAGGTAACTTGCTAGTCTCTACCACAGGTTAACAGTGTATAGAGAGCACAACCAAGAGGTCAAGGTCGAAATGACCTATTCTCTTAGTTTAAGGAGCGAAGGAGGAGGTAACTCCGACACGTTCACTACCTCAATAACTTTTAAACACATCACATATATCTGGTCCTATTTTGTCTTTTGGTACCAATACTGCGTGTCTATACAATAGAAAGTATGGGACAGAAAGAGCGCGAGGAGGAAAGAAACAATGGCCATAGAGAGGAACATGATATAAAATTTGAGAATATACCGAATATATAACTGTTGAATATAAACATCAGTATTCTCTTCTCCCCCCTCTCTCTCCACACACACACACACACACACACACACACACACACACACACACACACACATATATATATATATATATATATATAGAGAGAGAGAGAGAGAGAGAGAGAAGGAGAGAGCGAGAGAATGTGGACATAGGAATGAACACGGTGATTTTCCGTTTCCTTCCTTAAGTGATCTTCAGATCATCTATAAAGGCTCTGTCACAAATATTGAGCACTCTTCCTCCATAAATATAACTAATTTTAAACACTAAATAAAGATAGATATTGTATATTTGTGCAACAATGCATGTTTTATTGAAGATAACGGAAAGGAATATTTTGTAATTTTTTTATTCAGTTTTTCTTCTGTACTTACAATAGTTATTTTGAGGAGTGAATGCGTGGAAAAATTATCCTTTGTGTCTGTTTTCCCGAAAATGTATATAACCCCGTAATATTTGTTGCCCCCGAACCAAAAGCACTATAGACAATAAACACTAACGGTAATTTTTCATACACTTACTCCACAAAAGCTTACGGATACATCACGTTGAAACACCGGTTCCCGTATACTTACCGAAGTTAAGCAACGTCGAACCTGGTCAGTACCTAGATGGGTGACCGCTTGAGGATACCAGGTACTGTAAGCTTGGATGTGCGGGTGGTGTAATGGATAACAACTCAGAACTGTTAATCGGAAAGCCGAATTGCAATTCTCGTTGGATTTGTTATATTCATTTACGCACAAATATCCTTGGGAAATGTATGAATTTACCTCTTTTCCTCCAGCTACGGGTTAATTAGCAAAACTTGCATCACTAAACCATTATTATCTCCCTCTCCCCAAAGAAAACAATTCTTACAATCTAAAAATATGTGTAGTTTTAAATAACCTGAAAATTGTTGATAAGGTGTAGAAAACGAGTCAGTCAATTAAAAAAGAAAAAAAAATGTAAGAATACAAGAATAACTGAATTAAAAACTAACAAAATATTTCTTGGCCGTCATATACAAGGAAACATACATGAAAAATACATAAAGAGACAGAAGAAACATATTCAAGTATTTTTGCATCTATCTTAACTTGCTTCTTTTTTCCCTTTTGTTAGGTGGCATCTACCCATCTTTATCTGTGTATCAGATATCAATCACAATTACTCTTTGTGTCTGTATATTATTTCCGATATTATCATTCATTCCTTCTTTTTTTCCCATTTAATTTCGTTCTTCAATTCCTACCAAGCTTACTTCATTAAAATACTAGAACCTTATTTTCCTTTCCGTAAAAAAAGACGATTATGACAGAAGCGCTAGCAGGTAGCAGGGTGGGCGAAGAGTGGCGTCAGGTCCAGATCTGCTCTCCGTCAGTATGAACGGTAGATAAGTGAAGCTGAGGGTCAACAAGAGAGCTATTGACCCCAGAGAATTAATGATACGGCCCTAACATCAAGTGTCGCCTAACTGGCGGGTTGTCTCTTTTAGAGTCCACCGTCTGGCAAGTAAGTAAAGGGTGTACCAATACAAGGATGATAGTGGGCGAAATAAGAAGGGAAATGAAAATAAAACCTAAGAAAAGAAATTAGTAGCAGTAATGATTTTTATTATCATTTGAAGAAAAATTGAGGTTGCGAGAAGGAGAAAGAAGAAAATCGGGAAAGAAATGAGAAGAAGAAAAAAGAAAGAAGAAAATCAGGGTGAAAATAAAAGAAAACACTGATTGTTAGAAGGAAGCTGTTGTTTGCGGCGATTATTCAAGGAAAAGAGAAGGTATGAAACAGAGAAACGGAAAAATGGACGAGGAGTACAGATTTGTTGTGATTTAAGCGACACTAAGTAAATATGAATAAGAATGACAGATAATGAAACTGAACTAAATAAATGATAAGCTGTGGATCAGACAGAGGCAAGAAAGACACAAAAAAGAAAGAACGATAAAGATACATTGAGACAACGAAACAAAGTGAAATATGATATGAAAAGAAAGCAGCCGAGAATAATATACAGGAATGTATACGTAGAAGCAAATGACGTAAAATATGATTAAAAGTGGAGAGTGAGAGAAAAAAGCTCGAGACTGATATATAATTCTGATTGTGAACTATACGAGATAAAAGAGTGTGGGTAGAACTAAAGGGAGAAGTAAATGTAGTCAGCCTAGAGAAAGCATGTTAATTGATAAAATGGCAGATACCAGTAAATATGTCTCTTCAATTAGAACGAGACGGACTGTGATATAAAGAGAAAATCAACATTGAACTAAGCAAGAAACACGTTGTTTATTTAGGAAAGACCCGACACATTCTCTTTTCTTTTCTTCTTTAACTCTCGTCTCTAGACACAGGCATCTTTTCTTTTTTTATTAGTTTCTATTTATGTTTTATTTCTATTACCCTTTTTGCAATGACAAGGTCTTTGCCGACTAAATTAAATTCTCTTTAAAAACATTTAATAAATCGGTCCTCTCTCACCATATCTATCTATCTATCTATCTATCTATCTATCTATCTATCTGTTCTATTTGTGTGTATTTTTGTGTGTGTGGTGGTGGGTAAGACAAACTTTCGAAATTACTGGGACCATTTTATTCGGTCGAGCTAGCATGGACATTCATGAGTCTATCAGGTCAACCATCACGCATTCTGCGTTCGTAGAAATATCAGGGATGGGCCCATGGATTTAGTTGGATATTGTCTCCAAGAGAAATATATCTCTCAGCATCCGAGTATAGGTTCCATCAAAGATTTTAGTTGATGTCCAGACAGTGGCACCATACATTAACACCACCTCTACAGTGGCTCGAAATCATCTCCGCTTGAATTTGTTGGGTAAATCAGATTTCCAGATTATATCCATTTTATTCAACGTGTCCCAGGCGTTAGCTATGCTTATTTTCACACCCTTTTCAGTATAATTTATTTCGTTTCGTGGCTATGTGTGGTGATATGCAAATTAGATTGTATAAAAGTTGGAAGGTTTCTACACTCAGGAGTGAGTTATCTTTCCTTCGTAGTTTACGTCTAACTGTTGAGTTTACTCCTAGCGGATGAAGTCTTCCCGGACGAGTTGAGTTAAGTTTGTCACAAACAACTTTTTGCAAGTAGTATTTTGGTTTAATTTGCTTTTGGGTTTTGGATATTTTTGAATTTTCTTTTTCACTTTTGTTTTTTTCCTCGGGTGTCAAATTCCTGTGATCTTGGGACGAATTTTTTAATAGTTTTGCTGTGTGGAGCTTCGACCGCCATGGCGGAGTCTCCTTTGATACCGTTGGTGCAAGTGGAACAAACCGCACCTCCTAAAAAACGGCATGGACTGAAGATAGGCCTAAAAAAGATGCCAATTATTATTTACAATTTCAAGATAAGTATGAGGAATACGTAAGAGAGAATGAGCTTCTTACTATTCCAGAAACCCTAGAAGCTGTGAACACAAAAACAATCTCACTGCTGACCATCGATGTAAAAATTCGGAAATTGATTGGGATCAGCGGGGAAGCAATGGAGGAGGCGCCAAAGAGCCTGAAGATTTGGCCAATGATACTGATCAGAAGATCAAACGCCATGTGGGACATCTTTCTGGCTACTGAGCAAGAGGCCAGGCAGCTGGCCAGAATGATTTTATGGCGAAATCAGTTTATCTACAGACTGAGTACATAGACACCAGAAAAACAAGAATAATCATCCATGGGGTGTCTATGGATATTAGCGAGGACAGAATGGGGGTCTTTTTTGTTCGATATGGACAGGTTGAGGACGTCTCGGCAATTATAAATAACAGGGGCATTGCATCTATTCTCCAGGTAACAATAACCGCAAGAGCTTCGCAGAAATGACCAACATTTTGATGTGCCAGGAAAAAATGGATACCTGTGGTGATGGAAGGCCGTCAACCCTACTGCTGGGGCACATATCGAAAAGCGAGCCCCGGTAAGAACATTGCACCACAACATTAATGGCGAAAGCAGTGGAAGAGTCTGGCAAGGCCTCTGATGGAAGGAGGTGGGGAGGGGGGACGGAAAGACGGCAAGCTCTCCTCACCAGGAAAATGTCCCACAACACCCCCCCGGAGCAGCCAGAGTATGAGAAACAGCATTAACCACAGCATCAGGTGGGAAAGCAACAGAAAGAACAGCTACAGGAACCTGATGCAACAAGAACAAAAACGACATCAGCACGAAAACAGCAGCAAGAGCAACAATAAAAGCAGCAACAGGAAAAGCAACAACAGAAGAAACAGCACAAGCAACACCAACAACAGCAAAAACAACAGCAAAAGCAGCAACGTGCGGACTTTGATAACTCTGATATGGAGGCGGGGAAATGCCTTCAGTTTGTTCCTTCTCTTTGAAGAGTGGGGGATGAATAAAAGGAGGAAAAAACTACCAAGAAGGAGAAGCGGACTGACGAAGTAGGGTGGAGAAAAACATGAACAAAACCAAGTCCCAATCCGTTCCAACTTTGCCAGCAAAAATTGAAGATACCATCCCAAAATGAAGGAGCCTTCCCTCTTACCCTTCTAGGGCTTTGCCCCCTCCACATCCGCGCTTCCCAACCCGCCCAAAGAAAAAAAAAGTGACATTTCCCCAGGTCTCTCAGAGGACAGGCGGGAACTGGAAAGAGACGTTTCCACCCAGAAAAAGACCCTCTTGGGTCCGTTATTTAAAGTAACCATTGTTGGAATTTTTGGGTACCCTAGTACTAGTGAGCCAGCCAAAATGAGCTGACTCTTTTTATAGTTCACCAATAGAAGGGTTAACCAATCAGAAAGCTCAAAATATTCAATGCGACGTGTATAAAGGCGACCATGTTTTTTTTTTCCGAATATGCAATGCCAGCCTTTGATATCGAAGACTGAAGAATTACGGAACCGCTGCTGGTGAGTGTTAATCTTTAACGTTGTTTCATTGAACAGATTACGTACTGCGCTGTATTCTATATTCATAGACTATGGTCAACAACCATTGTCGAAGGGAAGTCAGTGGAGGATTCCCGTAATTTTTATACGGCTCCAGGTGTGATAACATAATATTCATAGACTATGGTGAACATGGTCAACAAAGGTTATGAGCCCAGATTACGACTGTATTTTGACGGAGACGAGTCAAGATACGAATTATGGGAAGTCAAATTCCTAGGCTACCTTAGAATACAAAAACTTTATGACATCATTCTTTGCCAAGATGACCAGAAAGAAGATGATGATTTTCTGGAAAGAAATACGACCGTGTTCGCCGAATTAATACAATGCCTGGATAACAGAAGTTTGTCTTTAATAATGAGAGAAGTCAGGGACGACGGATGTCAAGCTTTAAGAATATTGCGTGAACATTACTTGTCAAAAGGTAAGTCTAAAATTATTGCTTTATATACTGAACTAACCTTGTTAAGGAGACGAGAAAATGAATCTGTAACAGATTATATTATACGAGCTGAAAATGTCACAAATGCCTTAAAAATGGCAGGTGAGACTATCTCAGATGGGCTGCTAATAGCCATGGTTTTAAAGGGATTACCAGCAACATTCAAACCATTCACGACAATCATAACTCAAAAAGATAAAAAATTAACTTTCACTGTGTTTAAAATTGCGTTACGTAGTTATGAAGAAACTGAAAAAATGTGTAATTCTCCCAAATCACAGAAATAACGTAA